AGGTCAACCTTGAAGGAACTGTTTCAAGTGCTGAGGAGCAAGGATGTCTCCTTGAGGACTAAGGTGCACCTGACACAAGCCATGATATTTCCAATTGCCTTATATGCATGTGAGAGCTAGATAATGAATATGGAAGACCAAAGAAGAGTTGATGCTTTTGAGTTGTGGTGCTGGTGAAGAATGCTGAAAGTACCATGGGCTGCTAAAAGAACTAACAGATCTGTTCTGGACGAAGTGCACCCGAAATGCTCCTTGGAGGCAAGAATGGCCAGACTTTGTCTCACCTACTTTGGTCACATTGTCAGAAGGGACCATTCCCTGGAGAAGGATGTCATGCTTGGTAGGGTGGAGGGTTGATGAAAGAGGGGGAGGCCTTCAACGAGATGGATTGACACGGTAGCTGCAGTGATGGGCTCAAGTATAGCAGGGATCATGGAGCTGGCGTGGGATTGGGCAGTGTTTCGTTCTGCTGTGCATGGGGTCGCTATGAGTCGGAAACGACTCAACGGCACCTAACAACAACAAGGAGTAAAATACTCTGAGCCCCCAGAATCTGCAGTTGCCACAGCCCCACATGGCAATTTTGCAAGTAACCAAAGCTAGCCCTTGAATCCTATTTAAAAAAAAAAAATGTTTCTCAGATCTGTTATATACTTCCTGGCATTCTCAAAGGAGCCTTGATGGCGCAGTGGCTAAGCACTCAGCTGCTAACCAAAAGAGCAGCACTTGGAACCCAACAGCCACTCTGCATGAGAAGGATGTGGCAGTCTGCTTCCGTAAAGATCGACATCCTTGAAAACCTTCTAGGGTAGCTCTACTCTGTCCTACAGAGTGATTAAGAGTCAGTCACCAGGAGAAACTTGTTCACTTTGTATTTTCTAATTTTTCTGTAAATGAGCAGGTTTCATTATTCCAATAAGAAAAAAAAAAAAAAAAAAACTCCACAGAAAAATTACCACTGTCCTTATGTCCCTATTTTGATCCCAGATAGCATCATGATGTGTAATGAGTTCAGGTGTTCCTCTCCTAATAGACTGTGATCTGTCTTTGCAGGCAGGCCTTGCACTGGGCTGGCACACAGTGATCAGTAAATGTTTGCTGAGGGATTACAGCCTGAAGTGGCTGGCTGCCAGTCTGGAAGCTCCTGTAAGCCAGGAGTTTCTCTTTTAGTGGGACCAGTAGGGATGGTGTCAATAAGCAATAAGCTAATTCTAAGGCCGGTGGCCTGCATTCATTTTTGGATCTGCCACCAAACATGGTATTTTTAATCAACTCATATACATGAGAAACCTGAACAATGAAAAAGGAAGACTGAAGAATTTATGCATTTGAATTGTGTTGGCAAAGAATACTGAATATACACCATGGACCACCAGAACAAATAAATCTATCTGTCTGGAAGTACAGCCAGATGCTCCTTGGAAGTGAGGATGGTGAGACTTTGTCTTGTTTACTTTGGACATGTCATCAGGAAGGACCAGTCCCTGCAGAAGGACACCATGCTTGGTAAAGTAGGCAAAAAAAAAAAAAAAAAACCATTGCTGTCGAGTCGATTCAACTCGTAGCAACCCCTCCTTGGGTTTCCAAGGCAGTATCTCTATGGAAGCAGATTGCTCAGTCTTCCATCTGAGGAGTGGCTGGTGGGTCTGAACCATCAGCTTTCTGGGTAAAGTAGAGGATCAGAGAAAAAAAGGAAGACGCTCAACAAAATGGATTGACACAGTGGCTGCAATAATGGGCTCAAACATAGTGATTGTGAGGATGGCATGGGACTGGGCAATGTTTCCTTCTGTTATACCCATAGGCTAAGTTGTATGTCAACTTGGCTGGGCCTGGTTGAATGGCTGGGCAGCTGGTGGTAGTTATTCCCCATGATAAGACTGGCAATCAACTCCATGGTGGGATCTACCACAAGCAGCTGAGTAGTTGCTTTAGTATGTGGTCTACCTCCCGTATATAAGAAACAGCTTTGGAAATGGTCTTTAGCCTATGGCATGTTTGAACCCTGCATGTAGCTATGTCATTGTTCAGCAGCCTGCCATGCTCTGCCGACCTTAGGACTTTCAGTGGACTTGAATTAATGGCCTGCCGTGTGGTTTGGTAACATCAGGACTGTGCCTCTTTATTTGTTGACCTTGGGCTTGTTAGCCATAGCAGCCAGTAGCTACCTGAGTGAAGACATGCCTCTAGCTTCAGTGGGCCAGGAGCAAGAGGCAGAACTGAAGTCCAAGATTGAGGGGCTTTCAAGGGGCTTTCACACAGGCCCTAGAGCCTGGCACTTTGAACTCGGACTTAAAGCTTCCAAATTAATAAACAAACTCCTGTTTGTTAAGGCCATCCCATTGGTGCTATATTCTTGTCAGAGTGGTACTAGGTAACCAGAACAGCTGCTATGAGTTGGAGCCAATTCAACCGTACCTAACACACCACCACCCCATCTGGACCTTGCATCACCTGCTTCCATGGGGCAGGGTCAGCCATCAGCAGTACGAGGTGCCCTCTGCTGGCCATCCTTTGACGGTGTCTGAGGTAAGCCCCAAACCTGGGATGGACAATGCTGGCCTCCTCCACCTGAGCTCATGCTTCTAGCCACACTCTGAGCAGCACTGCCTGCCACTGGGCCTAGTGGGTCTGCAGGAAGAGGTTGGGCCCAGCCTGTCGGAGTTGGGCAAAAGTGGCTCACTGGACACAGGCCTGGGATGCTGCCTGAGCCCAGGCCTCTAGGACCCTGGAGGAGAGGAAGGAGCCATGGCTTAAGCCATCAGGGTCAGCCCTCTACAGGGAGCCCTATCAGAAGCCATCCACAGACCTTGCCAGTACTGTGGTGTGAAGGGAATCAGTGGGCAAAGTGCAAGGCCTGTGCCCCTCCTCCCAATCCCTGTTCTGGAGAAACTGAATTAAAATGGCATGGTGAGCAATCTGGAAAAGTGGAATATCACACAATAGTGACAAGCATCCTATTTAGGTGACAGAAACCCAAGGAAGGGTTGCTACGAGTTGGAACCAACTTGATGGCCGTGAGTTTGGTTTTGGGCTGTGTACCTGGCCCTGAGCTGAGCACTTTCATACATCATGTGTAATCCCCCTTGGCCACCTTACAAGGCAGAGCTGTTGTCTTCCTTTGACAGAGTTAGAGATATGCCCAAGGAAGACTGCCCAGCTAGAAAGTGGTGCAGTTAGGATTTGACCCCAGGACTAACTGCAATGACCAGAATTGCCTCTCTCTACCTCCTTGAGCCTCTGCCTTGCCCCCTGGCCACAGAAGACCCTCTGCCCCTGCTAAAAACAGCTCTAAGCCCACCAGGGGCTTCCCAAGGCCATGGGGCTCTCACCTGACACTCAGCTTGCAGGCAGCATGGGCTTGGCTGGCCTGGCACAGGTGGGACTCACATACCCACAGCGTCCAGCATAGGGCCACCCTGGCCTGGGCCTGGACATTCTCTTCTGCCTGCCAGTGGGCCTCATGGCACTGGCCCAGGGTCCCCCACCATGCTGCAAAGGCCTGCTTATCCTGGCCTCACCTCAGCTGCTTACACACCCGGCCCTGCTGCATGGCCCTGCTCCAGTGAGCAATGAAGACCTGGGCCTCACGCTGCTCCTGGGCTGCAACTACTAGGGCTTCCCGCAATTTGGCAAATGTGGCCCCCAGCACCCCTTTTGTCTGTCCCCTCTTGTCCTGGAAGGTTTGGTGCTGGGCCTGGAGCACCCCAGCCTCTCTCACAAGCCCCTGCCGGGCCTGGAAGCACCTGCAAAACAGCAGTGGGAGGGGGCTGAACTGGCTCTTGGAAGATAGGCGGAAGTTACAATTACCCAATTACACCCTTGAATAGCCCCCCAAGTACCGTAAGTTATACACAGTTTTGTGTATACAACCATGTGCCTTAAAAATGTACTGACCAATGTGTAACAGGGAAAATGACTAGCTTTTGCCTAGGGGCCTGGATGCACTGAGTCCTTGTCTCAAAACCCAAGCTCAGGAGGCAGGTGCTGCCAATGTGAGGAGTGTGAGGACCCAGTTACTTGTGGGTTCAAATCCCGGTTCTGCAGGGGGAGCAGCTGTGTCTTGCCTCCTCTCAAGTGGCCACTCTGGGGCAGGCAGTTAATCTCCCCCTCTCTGATAGCCCAATAAAATGTCTAGACCATTCAGGTGCAAAAGCATAGATGTCAGTCACTGTGTGGTCAGTGGTTCTCTTCCTTGGTGGGGTCACTGTGAACATGTGTGAATTTGTAGCTGAACCATGTAAGGAGCCTCACCTGTGCCCTCTACTATTAAAACATGTATTAATAAACTACATACACCATCTTTTTGCATACAGTGCACTTACATAAATAGCACGCACACATATGTAGCACACATGCTGAGGAGTTATGTAGTTTGCAAAATAATATGTACATTATTTGTGTAAAAATACAGTTCCTATTTCACTGAAACATCTCGATTTAAATGAAGATTTTACTCTTTTCTTTCGGCAACTGTGTACAGCATAGTCCTCCTGGGCTGACTCCTGTAAGGAATACCATAACATAGGCTGACTTTGGAACACATGCTATCGTGGATGTTGGAGAGTTGGTTTAGTCATCTTACTTGTGCCTTCTGGAGTCCCTGAGTGGTGCAAATGGTTAACAAGCTTGGCTGTTAACCAAAAGTTTATAGGTTTGAATCCACCCAGAGCCACCTTGGAAAAAAAAGGCCTGGTGATCTACTTTGGAAAATTCAGCCACTGAAAACCCTCTGGTAGGACAAGGTTGTGGCAGCTGCTGCTGCTGCTTCTTTTTTTTATTGTGATTTGGGTGAAAATTTACAGAGCAAATTCACTTTCCGTACAGCAGTTCACATATGCTTTGTCTCATGACATTGACCACAATTTACCACAATGCAACAGCTCCCCTCCTACTTCCTCCCGATAGTTACCTCTTCCCTGTCTGTCTATCCTGCCATGTACTCCTGCCCCCTGAGCTGTCTCCCTGTGCATAAGCAGCCCTTCTTTCTCCCATTATTGTTCTCTCCAAGGAGTATATCTGCCTCAGGTAAATGTTCAACTCATATGCCTGTCTTTTGTTTGGCTGGAAGCCACAGGTGTGGGTTCAATTCCAGACCTGAAGGGCAGCTAGGGGCCATAGTCTCAGTGGTTCCACCCGGCTCTATCAGATGTGTTAGCTTCTTAGCTACAACCAAGCACCTTGAGGGAGTAAGTTGCCAGGATTGTGGACTCTGGACCATGGTCTCAGGGGACATCAAGCTTAACTGGAACCACTTAGGACATAAAAATATTGTTCTACATCCTGCTTTGGTAAGTAGCCACCAGGGTCTTAAAAGCTTATGAGTGGCCATCTAAGATGCAACTATTAGTCTCTCCTTGCATGGAGCAAAGAAGAGTGAAGAAAATTAAAGACATATGGAAACAATTAGTCCAAGGGACTGACGCACCACGGGAACCTCAGCCTACACAACCCTGATACCAGAAGAACTAGATGGTGCCCAGCTACCAATGCCAACCACTAGGAAAGGGACACAAATTGGAGATCCTGTACAGAGTGGGAAGAAAAATGTGGAACAAAATTCAAAAACACAAAAAATGACCAGAATTACTGGACAGATAGAAACTGGTGAAACCCCTGAAACTATGGCCTTGGGTTACCCTTCAGGCTTGGAATTAGACTCATTCCCATGAGTTAGCTCTCAGCCAAACAATAGAAGGGCCTAGCAGCTGAACACCTACTCCAGGGAGGTACACCCCTTAGAACAGTTAACCATGAGAGATTGAAAGGGCAGCCTTTTGCATAGGGGAAAAGCTAGACAGACAGGAATGCACAGGTGAGAAGGACACAGGGAAGAGGTCGTCACAGGGAGGAGGTGGGAAAGAGCTGTTCCATTGTGGGGATTGTAATCGGTGCCAAGAAACAAAATGTGTATGAACTGTTGACTGTAAAACATATCTGCTTGGTAAATTTGCAGCCAGATCACAATAAAAAAAGACAGAAAACCCTATGGAGCATAGTTCTAGTCTGACACACACAGGGTCATCATGGGTTGAGTTAGCTCAGGGGCAATTGGTTTTTTAATTGTTCCTCTGGAGGCACAGGACTGACTTGGCCACAAAGAGGAGTCCTGGGTTTGGTCAGGGCCATGGTTGCAGGTGGGGGGTTGCCATCCTCTCCACAATGCAGAGATCGGTGGTCATGGCCTTGCATCTCCAGGCTAGGGTCTCCCTTCACGCCCCTCCCCCCCACCCCTGTTTCCCAGGTTCCAGATCTTTAGTCTGGGTCACCCCCAGAGCAGCAGAGGTGACCCAGCTTCCCGTTGTCCCCTGGGCTCTCTCTCCCTGCTTTTCCTGGAGTGGAGATGACCCTCATCTGGTTTGCCATTCCGCACCCTCCCACCCCCAGGCCCACCCACCTCTGCAGTAGGAGCTGCTCTGGCCTGGTCACCACGTGTCTACAGTGAGCTGCTGCCTGCTGCCAGCACTGGAACACAGCCCTCAGTAGGTCCTGCAGACGGACCTGGACCCACACCTGGTACTTTTCATGCAGGACCAGATGCCCTGTGGCCAGAGAGACACTGAAGTGTCACTGCTCTGCCCTGACCCTTGTTCACCTACCCTTTGCCCTCTACCCAGGTGGGAAAAGAAGAAGCCACCCTAACTTTTCAAGGTAAAATATTTCTGTTACAGGTATCTTACTGGTGACGAGGCCAATCCAGCTCATGTCTCTTGGATCTCTCCCCTGGGGGGAACCAGCTGCCATATCAAGAGGAAGCTCTGTGGAGAGGCCCACTTGGCAAGGGACAAGGACTGCCAAGCTTGGAAGTGGAAGTTCCCCTCCCCCCACCTGCTGAGCCTTTGGATGAGACCACAGCCCTAAGCATGGATTTGACCACAACCTCATGGGATGCCCTGAGGCACCCAGCGAAGCCACACCTGGATTTCTGACCCACAGAAACTGTGAGATGATAAAGATTTGAGGTTTTAAGCCATTGCACTTTGGGGTAATTTGTAATGCAGCAATAGACTGCTAATACAATTGGTCAGAGAGGTCCCCTGACTTAGCTGAATTCAAGCTAGGTGCAAAGAAAAGAGTTTTCTTTTTGCACAGAGGCCAAGACTCCCAAAGCAAAGCTTTCTGGGAACCATCCCTCCTCTCACCCTTGGCCAGTGTTTCTCTGGCCTGCCCAACAAGTAGCTCTCCCTCCTAGCTCCCCACCTGGGCTGAGGCCATCCCACTGCCTCAATCTCCCTTTGCACTGCTCTGCTTACTGAGATGTGCTCACCTCCTCCTGGGGGACCCTCCCTAAGTCTGCTGGGCTCTACAGGCTCCATGACTCTGCCCACCACTCCTTCCCACTCAGAGCTCAGATCAGTGATCCCTGAGGGTCAGGCAAGGATAAAGATGTTGTGCTGGTGGAGAGCTGGACTCTGAGCCAAGCACTTTACATGGATTATCTTGTAGAATCTCCTCAATGACCCTACGAGGTGGGTACTACTACTATCTCCATTTTCAGGTGAGTAAGCTGAGGTGCAGTGAAGAAGCTTGTTTAAGATCCACACAGCCAGGGAGTGGAAGGGTGGGGACTTGAGCCTATCCTTCAAGTCCGGCTTTGCCAGTCTCCTGGGTATGCCTCTGCAGAGGTCTTATCAGTGGACTCTGTGCTGGAGGACATGGAGTCCTGGGTTTCCCTGATGGACCCTGGCCCTTCCCTCACCCACAGTGCCCCTGATGCAGTCCCCGACTCACTCTGCCAACAGGAGTGCCAGTGGTGAAAGGCGTCTCATGCCAGTCTCCAGCCCCGCTCCTGGGCCCACCCACCACTGTGCCAGCCACTGCTGCCACAGGCCCAGTATAGCCCTGCAGCTCTGCGCCCAGGCCCAGCGGGCTGCCAGCTCTCTCCAGGCCCCTTGGGCCTTTGTCCAGTGCTTCCAGCTAAGCAGGATGCTGGGGAAGGGAGGGTCCACCCTGACGATAGTCACCACCCCTCTGGTAGCCCCAGCCCCCCAATACCCCAGCACGAGGAAGGGCTTAGAGTGACACTTCTCCCTGTTTCCATCATGGGGGAGGGTGGTTGCTGGAGGCTGGAGGGATCAAATACCTCTCTGAGGAATGATAAGTAGTGGGGATAGACCCCTAATGCCAAATCCTGTGCTCAGCCACTAGCAATAATAATAACTACTCTGACTGAGGGCCTGGGAGCTCTGGTAGCATAGTACCTAAGGCACTAGACTGCTAACCAGAAGGCTGGTGGTTCAAACCCACCAGCCACTCCTCAGAAGGAAGATGGGGACTTCCATAGTGATACTGCCTCGGAAACCCAAGGAGGGGTCGCTATGAGATGGGTCCGACTCGACGGCACATAACAACAACAACTGACTGAGGGCCTACTGTGTGCCAGGTTCTGTGCTCAGGGATGCATGTGCCCCTACCTCAATGATGCTTTGCTGGAGTGAGTACTGTCATTGCCCCATTTTACAGAGGAGGCAACAAAGGCACAGAGAGGTTAAACAACAGCCAGCATGAGCAAAGCTGGGATTAGAAGCCAAGTAGACCAACTCTTAAGCACCGTACTGAGTGAATAAATCAACAACCCACAGCTGGGAAATCCCTGAGAGAAGTGATTACCCTGCTGAGTGGGCCATTCCTTGCGCCTCAGTAGGCAGGGCAGGAGGGTGGGAGCTGAGTCTGGGGGCTGAGCTGGCTGGGCATGAGGGGGGCCTCTTCAAATGCAGGCCCCAAGGGGATGCTGCTGTGAAGATCAAAGTTGGATGGGGAGAAGGGGCCAGGAAAGCCTCAGTAAACCACAGAGTAGTGGTCAACTGGGCTGGCACCACTTGAGGAGGGGTCCCTATTGCCTCTGGAGGGTGCTCTGGTACCACTTTGCTGCACCCCAGGCCTGCTGGGCCTGTGCCTGCCAGAGTGGAAGGGTCTGCTCCTGCTTCTACCACCCAGCTGCCCACAGAAAGGTCACCCAGATGGTCTCCACGAGGGCGGGGTTCCTGGGAGCCTGGGGAGGAGGGGTGGAGTCCTGAGACCCCCAGCCCAGCCCCACCCCTACCTTCTCCACCTACCTGCCCCACCCCACACCCTAAAGCCCCTCACCCTCTCCAGGGAGCTGCAGGGCATGCTGCAGCCCAGCAAGGCCTCTCTTCCCAGGACACCATCCAGTGGCTCTGGGGCCAAGGTGGTCCTAGTGCTGCTGGGCAGGATGCAAGGACCCCACATCCTCAAGTGCCTTCAATTCAGGACGTCTGTAAGTTCCGCTGCTGCAGGCTCTGGAGGAAGAAACTGCAGGAAGGAGCAGGTGAATCTCTGGGCCCCAGCCTCACCCAAAAGCTAGATGTATGGCTTTCAAGGACAGATTGCTGGCTGATGTTCCCCAGGTGTACCATCAGGGAAGCTGCCCTCACCTTCACCCACAGCCACCAGCCTGGGTTGGTTCTCAGCAATGGCCATTTTGTGTAAAGGCAGCTCCATGGTCTCGGTACAGGGCCCTTTCAAGCTCCTGATTCACAGTGGCCTTTACAGCAAGCTGCTCAAATACTCTGGACCTCGGTTTCTCTAGGTTTGTATAAGGCAGATGGGGGCTATGAGTTCTGCCCGTGGCTCCTTTACTGCTTTGTTTGCAGTACTTGTGCCAAGCCTACAGCACGCGGGGCACAGCTGGGGAGCTGGTGATGAGCACACAGACAGGGCCCCTGCCACCAGGGAGCTCCATTTAGCAGGGGCAATGGGCAGGGGTTGTTCCAGATTCTGGGGAGGGGAGCCCATCCCGTCAGGTCCCAGTTCCCCTCACAGAGCTCCATGCCTGTGTCCCCACAGCTCTTGATGGCTCTCTGCCCAGTCACTGTCTCAGTGCCTCCAGGCCACCTCCCTGGGCCTTGTGTCCATGCCAGGCCTACACTGGGGACATAGGGAGAGTGGGATGTGGCCTGTGCCCCACCCCCTGCTGGGCACTCCTCCTGGTGCTGACCATTCTGTGCCCCAGGCCCAAGCCCAGGTCGCAAGCTCTCAGATACCTACTTGGCCTGCTGGTGCTGGGAGAGCTTTATCCTTCAGAACTGTAGCACCTGGTTAGAGGGCCAACTTCCAGCAGGCTTCCTGCAGGGAACCCTGACCTCACTCCAGGAGTTACCTCTGGGCCTGGATCGTCACCCCAGGGCCCTGGGCTGTGGCCGCTCCAAAGTCTCAGCTTCAAAGGGCTGCAGTCCTTGAGGAAAAGGCAGAGATGAACCAGCCATATTCCTGCTGTCCTCTCTCTGTCCAAAGCTATTGATAGCTATTGCCTCAGTCTCCCTCAGGACCTCTCTCCTCATGGGCACTGGCCCCCTTCCACTGCCTGTAAACTTCCCCTCCATTAGGCCTCAAAGATCTCATTTTCTCCCATCAGGTTGTTTTGTTTGTTTCCCAAGAGCAGGGGCTGCTTCCCCTCCATCAGACGAGGTACTTCTTGTGAGCAAGGACCAAATCCCTTCCGGGTGGGTGGGGGTAACCCAGCACTAAGCTGGGCCTCAGCAAGTCTGCAGTAGAAGCTGGAACCCTGTCTACCTGGCCTAGAGGAAGTCATAATGGGAGGAAGGAGGTGGCCCAGCACCCCAGAGCTCCCTGTTCTACCACCTTCCATCTCAAGAATCCATAAACCCTGTAGGGCCCACTGAAAAAGGCGCTTAGCTGCCAGCATTTGCTGGGATGGGAGGACTCAGGCAGGGAAGGAAGGGGGCTCCATTTTGGCCTGGGCCCTTGGCCCACCACTTGCTCACCTGCCTTCTGCCGGCAGAGGGACAGCTGGGTCACCTTCACCCCATCTGAGGCCCAGAGCTGTTTCATCTGCACCCACTGTTGCAGGCACGTGTTCAAGGTCCCCACCTGGTGGTCAGCCAGGTGGTCCTGGCACCAGGCCCCTCTTTGCACAAACTGCTGCCAGGCCCCAAAACATCTGGGAGAGTCAAGGGAACATGCTGGTGCTAATCTTAATAACCATAGGGACAGACCTGTTACATCCAGACACTACTGAGGGCTTGGGCAAGTCACTTTACCTCTCTGAGCCTCCACCTCCTATCTGTGAAATGGGACTGCTGTAAGGACAGCGTGGCCTGCCCTCTATCAGGCTATGACACCATCATCTCTGGGTGTTAGGATGGCTCTAGCAGCCTCCTGCCTGGTTTTCCTGAATTCACTCTTGCCCCTCCAGTCAGCCTCCACCTGGTAGTCAGAATGATGTTTTTTTTTTTTTTTTTTTTCAAATCTCAAACCAAATACTCTTACTCTCCTGCTAAAATCCTCTAGGGGCAGCCCCCTTGCCCTATGATAAAATTTCAGCTCCTCCTCACGGCCTATCTGCCCATGTATACCTTTCCAACCTCATCCCCAACCACTCCCTGCCTACTAGCAAATCTCCACTTGACTCTGCTGTTCTTTCCATTTCCTGTGCTTCTCTGACTCAGGGCCTTTGCACATGCTACTCCCTTTGACTGGCACATTCACTAGGCAACTGTCCTCTTTTCACTAGGCAACTGTCCACCCTAGAGGTCTCCACTAAGCCTGTGCTCTATATCAGCTTCCCTTGTTACAAGTTCTCGTGGAAAACCACACCAAGGGGATGAAACCAGCAAAATGCAGCCAGTAGGCAACTCTACTGGACAAGGCACCCAGTTTCTTCAACAAATAAATTGCAAGGGGAAAAACGATGGGGGGTGGGGTAGGGAATGATATTGCAGTGAATTGCTTGATGTGGCCCTTCTAGCCATTGTCCTCCATTCTGTGATGTTTTGTAAATCCCATTATCCATGCCTGTTTGGGGTGGTGTGGTAGTTAATGTCAGATATCAACTTGCCTGGGCAGCTGGTAGTAGTCATTTCCTATAATGACTGGCAATTCGACTCTGTGATGGGATTTAGGTTATTTCTGTTGGGGCAACGCAGGTGGAATGTATCTTGAGTCCTGCCTTGCTGGAGGGTATAATTCAAATCACCACCCTTAGCTTCTCTGAGGGTATACCTATGAATCTCCTGGGAAGATTCGCCCTTCTCTTGCTCTGGCTTTGTGTCTTGGATCATCCTCATCTCACCCCTGGATTTGGGACAGCAGTCGTCATCTGATCTGCTGATCGAGGTTCATCAAACCCTGAGAGTTGGGGGGATCCTCCAGATCTACTCACGGACCTGGGACTCACCAGCCTGCCAGCCTCCACCACTACTACGTGAGACGAACCCTGGGTGTCTGTGAGTTCTGTGAGGCGTTGCAGTGAAATACAGAACCCTAAGACTGGGGAAATTACTGGGAGGAGGAGGAGGAGTTAATGTCTGAAATAATGGAGTGGCATGGTAGTTTGGACGTTTGGGACATCTTTAACCTCCGCCTCATGGGGACCAGCCTCGAGCTGATCTTTCTAAAAGAAATTATTCAAGCAGATATATCAAAGAGATTTTAGCACCATATCAGCCAATTAAAATGTATTGTCCTTATTTAGACCTCAATTCAAACAAGCTATGAGAAATCTGTATAGAAATCTGAGTGTTGTGATTCGCTGCCATCGAGTTGGCTGTAGTGTAATCTTTATGGAAGCAGATTGCCAGGCCTTTCTTCCATGGTGCCACAGAGTGGGTTCAAACTGTCCACCTTTAGGTTAGCAGCCATTCACAAACGATTTGCGCCACCCAGGCTTCTTGGAAATTTGAATATAGACCAGATACTTGTTGGTATTAAAGAATTATTGTTCATTTTCTTAGGTGTGATAATAGGGTTGTGATTATATTTTTTAAGACTTCCTTATTTTTTACAGGGAGCTCTGGTGGTGTAGTGCCTAAGGCATTTGACTGCTAACCAGAAGGCTGGAGGTTCAAACCCACCAGCTACTCCTTGGAAGGAAGGCTGGGCAATCTGCTATCTGTAGTGATACCGCCTCGGAAACCCAAGGAGGGGTCACTGTGAGTCGGATCCGACTCCATGGCAATGAGTTTGGTTTGGTTTGGTTTTATTTTTTTAAGATACATATAGAAATATTTACAGATGAAATGGTATGATGTCTGGGAGTTGCCTCAAAATAACGCTGGAGGGGGAAGTAGTTGGGCTCCAGATGAAACATTCTTAGGAGGAGGTGGTTTTGATGAATTGAGTGATGAGTACGTGGGGGCTTACTTTCCTATTCTTTATACTTTTGTGTAAGATGAAAATGGCCTGTAATAAAAAGTTAACAACAAGGAAAGCCCAAACTCTTACAGATCTGTGTCCGTTCCAGTCACAACAGTAATTTAGGTGGTATTCACACACTCACTTTGTGACTGCTAGTTTCCTGTCTGTTCCACTTCCTGACTTGGGCGCCACAGGTTCTATGAGTTAAACTCTGCTTAACTGAGTCCCAGCCCTCAGATCAGTGTTCAGCATGTCTTCTGTTAGGTTGTTAGGTATCGCTAAGCTGATTTAGACTCAGAGCGACCCATATAACAGAGTACAATTGCCCCGTAGGGTTTTCTCGGTTGTACTCTTTACAGAAGCGCATTGCCTAGGTCTTTTTACAGATGAAATGGTATAATGTCTGGGTTTGATTCAAACTGCCAACCTTTCAGTTAGGGGCTTGTGGCACTGTTTGTGCCACAAAGATGTCCAGGTGCTTGGTAAACAGCAATTGTTTTCACCAGTTGTTTCTATCCTTGTCTCTCAACACCAGAGGTCATCGAGAGCTGACTTAAAGGGCACCTCCCTGCTGGGTCCCACTGCTGCCTCAGGGAGGGGTTCCCCACTGCCCAGCACCACCCACACCCTCTGCGTTCCCCTACCTGCAGAGCCAGGCTCTCTGTTGCTGGGTCTCCAGTGGGGCCGCTCCAGCTGAGGCTGCAGTGTGAGCACGCCCAGCCTGAGGGGGCTGCCCCACCCTCTGAGTCCTCAGTGGGCCCAGGCAGCTTCGACGGGCTCCCTTCTCCTGCCTGGCCAACGCTTTGTGATGACACCACAGGAGGAAGACTGCAAGGGATAAGGGCAAGAGAGAAAAGAGAAAAGCTGAGCAGGAGGTTCAGGAGGGGCCGCTGACACCTGGGTCACCAAGCTGTGTGCTCCGTCTCTGGGCCTCAGTTTATCCACGTGTGAGTGACGCCTGGACTTTGATCAGCACACCCCCTCATACTGTGTGTCCTTGGGCTGTTCATTTAACTTCTCTGTGCCTCGGCTCCCCATCACTAAAATGGGCATGCTACCTTGCCAGGGCCACTGGGAGGCTCAAGAAAGATTATATGTGGGAAGGGCCAGAGTAGAACCTCAGTGAACATTGGTTCCCTCAGGACCTGCTGCACTGCCTGGTGCAGGGGCTCAGATCCTTCCCAGCCTGGCTCCATCTGCCTTACCCCTACCCCACTGTCCCAACCATCTCACCAGCCAGTCCAGTCAGTCGTTGCAGGGCCTGCAGGATCCGGGCTCTCCTGTCTCTGCATCTGGTCTCGGCCCAGAATGTGACAGAATCGGCCCACCTCCCTCCTCCTTCAGACTCCCTGGACTGAGAGGGAAGTTGCCAGGTCCAGCAAGGACACACAGTCCCAACCCGCCCACCCCAGGCCCAGGCTGGTGCTGTCTGCCCGGGGAGCAGTGGACGCAGAGTCACCCTGCTCTCTTCCAGAAACTTCATTTTATTCCTGATTATAAAAGTCATGGGGGCAGGGAGAGAGGTTCTGGCTTTAGCTTTATTCTCTTGCATGCTGTTTGCATTTTTACAACAAACATGTAGTAAACCAAACCAAACCCACTGCCAGTGAGTCGATTCCAACTCATAGCAACCCCATGGGACAGAGTAGAACTGCCCCCATAGGATTTCCAAAGCTGTAATCTTTATAGGAGCAGGCTGCCACATCTTTCTCATATGGAATAGCTGGTGCATTCGAACTGCCAGTCTTGGTTAGCAGCCAAGTTCTTTAATCACTGTGCCACCAGGGCACCTATGTAGTAAAATGAATATTATTAAATAATTATTTAAAAATACAAGTTTTTTTTAATTTAAACAATTAATTTAATTTAAAACAATTTTGTTTAATTTAAAAATAGGAACAAAAATAATTCATAGCTGTAGTGGAAAACCAGGGAAACAGAGAAAACAACGAACTGAAATCCCACTGCCCCAGAGATGAACACTTTGCCCGTTTTAGCATTGTTTTCCTCTTCTGGTCCTTTTTCAATGCATTGTTTTACATGATTGGAAAAAAAAAAAAAAGATACTATTTTTATCCTCCTTTATAAAATTTAGCATTAGCAATGACCAATTTTTCTTGCTATTAAAAACTATGCAAATACCCATATAAACATTTAAAGAAAAAGGGATACGTAGGGGGTAACACTTCCAAGTTAGTTGATATGCTTTCAAGCAAACAACCATATGAGAGGAAAAGAGCAGTGTAGAAGTTAAAGTTGTGTGTCAGCTTGGCTGGGCCTGGTTGAGTGGCTGGGCAGCTGGTGGTAGTTATCCCCCATGATGAGACTGGCAATCAACTCCATGGTGGGATCTACCACAAGCAGCTGAGTAGCTGCCTTTGGGATGTGGTCTGCTTCCTGTATACAAGGAGATGCCTTGGGAATGGTCTCTAGCCTATGGCATGCTTGGACCCTGCATGTAGCCATATCGTTGCTCAGCAGCCTGCCATGCTCTGCTGACCTTGGGACTTCTAATGGACTTAAATTAATGGCCTGCCGTGTGGTTTGGTAGCATAAGGACTATGCCTTTTTACTTGTCAACCTTGGGTTTGTCAGCCTCAGCAGCCAGCAGCTGTCTGAGTGAAGAAATGCCTCTAGCTCTAGTGGGCCGGGAGCAGGAGGCAGAGCTGGAACCCCAAGGTTGAGGGGCTTTCACCCCTAGAGGCTGGCACTTTGAACTTGGAGTTAAAGCCTCCAAACTGAAAGAGAATAAACTCCTGATTGTTAAGGCCATTCCATTTGTGGTATATTCTTGTCAGAGCGGCACTAGGGAACCAGAACAGGCAGCTATTTACCCAGAGATAAAGCTCAGAAGGCAGGAAGGGATAGGAAAGAAGGACAAAAGGAACACAGGAAGGAAGTGGGAAGAGCGCTGCTACACTGTGGGATTGCAATCAATGTCACAAAACAAAATGTGTATGAATTGTTGAATGAAAAATCAATTTTCCCTGTAAACTTTCACCCGGGTCACACACAAAAAAAATTATATTAAAAAAAAAATAATAGAAAAGATTTAATGATACCTTAATGATTGCAACAAAAATGTAGCAACTAGAGAAATGTAAATAATATGATTTCTTCGAAATGGCATAAAAATATTTTAAACTTCCATTTCAGAAGATACGTTGCCCCAAAATTATTTCTATAGCAATTCCTCTGAAAAAGTAACACTCAAAGTATACTTTATTACTAATATGTTTCTGCATTAATATAAAAATGAAAAATATATAGATCCTGAAATACTAATTTAATGTGATTATAATAACATATCAATGTTAATTGAAATTTGCTCTTGAATGGAGAATAACTAAATCAAATATAAGAAATGATGAAAGAAAAGATCTGAACAGAAGATTTCAAAGAACACCTCAGTAAGACAAAGTAAAGAAGTATAATGAAATGTGCAAAGCCCTGGAGTTAGAAAACCATAAAGAAGAACACGCTCAGCATTTCTCAAACTGAAATAACTGAAGGAAAAATTCAAGCCTCAAGTTGCAATACTGAAGGATTCTATGGGAGCTCTGGTAGCGTGGTGCCTAAAGCACTTGACTGCTAACCAGAAGATTGGTGGTTCAAACGCACCAGCTACTCCTTGGAAGGAAGATTGGGCAATCTACTTCTGTAGTGATACTGCCTTGGAAACCCAAGGAGGGGTCGCTATGAGTTGAATTGACTCAACGGCAGTGAGTTTGATTTTTTTGGGGGGGGTGGTGTTTATGGGCAAACTGGAGAAATGATTCCAGGGATTTCATTTTACTTGGATCCACAATCACACTCATGGAAGCAGCAGGCAAGAGATCAGATGTCCTAGTAAACTGGGCAAATCTGTAAAAGACTTTAAAGTGTTAAGGAGCAAAGATGTCACTTTGAAGACCAAGGTGCACCTAACCCAAGCTATGGTCTTTTCAATCACCTCATGTGTATGCAAAAGCTGGACAATGAATAAGGAAGACTGAAGAAAAGTTGATGTCTTTGAATTGTAGTGTTGGTGAAGAACTGAAAGTACCATGGACTGCCAGAAGAACAAACAAATCTGTCCTGGAAAAAGTGCAGCCAGAGTGCTCCTTGGAAGCTAGAATGGCCAGACTTCATCTCACCCACTTTGGTCATATCAGAAGGGACCATTCCCTGCAGAAGGATATCATGCTTGGTAAAGTGGAGGCTCAGAGAAAAAGGGGAAGACTACCAATGAGATGGATCAACACTGACTGTGACAATGGGCTCAATTACAGCTAGGATTGTGAGGATGGCACGGGACCGGGCAGTGTTTCACTCTGTACATAGGGTCGCTGTGAGTCAGAGCCAACTTGACGGCACCTAACAACATTAAGTAAGAAAAATGGGACAGTATATGGTTTAAGAGCTCTGGTCCCCGACTTCCCCAGAGGCAGGGGACCCTGGCACAGCTTGGATGTGGAGCCGCTCCTGCTTCTGCTGCACAGCCATCTCTCTCCACTGAGTCAGGAGAGAAGGGGGAGAGGGAGGTGGGCTGGAGCCTTGAATGTGCCCCCAGAGTGGGTGCAGGGGCAGGACTCAAACACTTCTGCTGGACTCCAAAGCCTGTGGTCTTAACCATTAGAATATCCTGAGATTATCTGTCTCAGTGGGATGAATAAATGAATGGAGAGATGGAGCCCAAGAAGCAAGGCTTTCCTTGGGACACAGAGCCTAGAACTGGGCCCTCCCCAAGTACCCCCTTCTGAAGAGGGGGAGAAACAGGGTGCCCTATGGTCCTGGCTGGCAAAAACAGTAATTTAATAAAGGCAAATGCTTATATGGTAAGTGCTTGCTATGGTTTTTAGTCTTACAACCACCCGATGGGATAAATACTATTATTATTCTATTTTAGAGATAAGGAGACGAAGGCACAGAAAGGTAAAATAACGGGTGCAAGATCACACAGCTAGGGAGTGGCAGAGGCAAGATTTGAACTCAGGGCAGAGGCAAGATTTAGACGTCTGGGCTCCTAACCACTATGCAATATGGCCAATCACTCATGAGGTGCAACCTGTGCCCTCTCAGTAGATGGAGTCTTTTCCCCAGACATGCCAGCAATTCATCACCTCCCCCTGGGCAACCTGGAGGCCTCTGACCTCTTGGAAACTCCAGGCCAGTAGGCTTTTTGTGTGCCCCCTCCACATCTCTTCGAGCTGTACCTTCTGGAGGCGCAAGCCCACCAAAGGGTCCATAGGCCCTTTTGCGACAGCTGTCATCTGTATAATGCCACTGCCAGCTGCCAGCTGAGGACAATGGGAGTTGGTCAGGGAGCAACTTGGGGTACCATTCACATTACCTTTCTAGCATCCACATGGTGATGCCCCTAAGCTGCAGCAGGAAGGACTCGCTGCAGACTTGAACTTTCCTTTTCTTCGTGGTTAGTCTTGGAAATCCCAGACAAGCAAGCCCCTGGAGGCAGGATGATGCTCCATTGGACTGCCAAGAGTGCAGGGCAGCCTTAGAAGTTTAAGATTCCCCATGTACCCCATCCAGGAGCAGCGGCCCCCACAGTCTTGTCCTTAGGGTACAGGGAGCTCCCTTTATCCCAGCAGGAAAAGTGTAGAAGAAGGAAGCCCCGTTCCCTCCCCTTCACACCCTGCCTTGGATTTACCATCAAGGTAAATCAGGCCTAGTCTCCATGCATCCAGGCAAATGGGAGAGGAGTTGTCCTCCATCCTCCTGCCCCAGCAGCTCATGGCCTCACCAGGGTGCCTTGGTCTCCAGGGTCACAGCATTTGGAGCTTTGTTCTAGGAATACAAGAGGACACAATACAATTCTCAGGCCAGGGAGAAGCCCGCTTGTCCAAGGCCTCCCTTCCTGAAGGAGGGGGTGGGACAGGGTAGTGACAGTTTCTTGGAGAATCCCTGGGAAGAGGCAGCCCAGCCCAGGAGCCCACCCACCCAGGTCACCCTGCAGGGCACTCCTCAATGCGGTGGTGTCCAGTGCAAAGGAGGAAGACGTCCTCTCCTGCTCCCTGCTGACCTGTTCCCCTCAGGGCCCCTTCCCCTCCTTCCTGCCCAGGCAGGGATCCCCAGACTGCACTGGAGGAGGCAGAAGGTCAGAGCCTGGCCTCCCTGCTGCCATCCCGCGAGGAAGACTGGGGCTCCCCCTCTGTTCCCCACCATATGCAGGCTGTAGGCAGCAGTCTCTTCCTCTGCTTAGGGGGCAGGCAGAATGACTTGCTCAGGGTCAAAGGGATGCCCCATGAGCATCCCAAAAGCTGTCTTTGGTGATGCTGGCTGGGCTGAGAGACTTGCCTGGTCTCCTTGCGTCTTTTTCCTGAGACTTCTGGGGCATCTCTGCCTCTCATCCCAGCAAGCAGGAGCAGGCTGGCTGGCCTGGGGGCAGGCAGGGACTGTCTGGCCTCCACTGGCCATAGGCTTCTGCTGCACAGGGCCCAAGGGTTCCTAGGATGCCCAGCACCTGAGTTGGGCTGCCTCATGCTCCAGATGTTGCATGGAGGCCAGCAACTGGTGGACATCAGCATGGGATGGGGCCTGAGTCTGGCTCTGGGTAAGGACAGCCAGGTCTTCCAGGGTAAGGGGCTTACCCATGGGCCTGGAGGCCCACTGGCCCAGGGCATACCAGGATCTGGGGTCTGCCCATGGACACCCATCTTGAGAACTGAGGCCTGCAGAGGCCCTGAAGTTTGAGCAAGGAGCATGTGGGGCTAGTGGCCTGGACTGCCTCAGGCTAGGGGATGGGCAGGTCAGCTGCCCACTGTGGCAGAAGGGGTTCCCCTGGGGCAGAGTTTGCAGACTGAAGTTTTTCTGAGGCTCTGGCCAGAGGCAGGGGCTGGTGCACTTACCACATGCAGCCAAGCTGGCCTCTCTTAGGCTCAGGTTGCTCTGCTAGACAGCAAAGCTTCGGACCTCCAGTGAGGCCTCCTAGCCCAGGGCGGCAGGTTGCTCTGCTGCACGAAGCTTGAGGTGACCCTCCGGCCAGTCTTGTCCTCCAGGCTGAGGCCTGGGCTGGTCAGTTGGTCTGGACGATGCAGGGCTCCTGGTGCAGCACTGCTCCTGGGGAGGGTGTGGCAGCAGCCCCTCCCCTCCCAACCTGGTACATGGGCACCCGACGGCCATGCCCACTGCCTAGGCCAACACCCAGGCTCGTCAGGAATCTCTGTGCCTCTAAAGAGAGGAGAGATAATCAGGCTGGGGTTGCAGGGAGGGGACCCTAGAGGTCAGAGTTCAGTGGAACAAGTGGGGCTAGTCAGGCTTTAGAACTGCGGAGGGACAGGGCTTAGGAAGGTGGGACCCAGGACTTTTGTCTCCTTGGGTAGACAATGGGCAGCCCCAGGTGGTGACGTGGTTGCCTAGAGCATGAACTAGGGGGCATGCAAGGGACAGAGGGAAGTAGGAGGCAGTCTGGAGGCTGCTTCAGGGTTTCCAGATGAGGGTGGCTGGGACAGGGATGGCAGTGTGGGTGGAAAGGAGGACACAGATTGGGATTTGCTGTGGAGTACAGCCAACAGGAGTGGAAGAGGAGGGTGAAAACGAGAAGAATCAAGGATGATTCCTTGATTTCTGTCCTGAGCAACAGTTGATGGGGAAGATGGGGGGCTGCAGGCTGGGGTGTAAACAAGACCCACTACACCAAGCAGCTGAAGGGGGCTGCTCTGGCTAAACTGGGGATGGGGCCTAGAGCCCCTCCCTCACTGCCAGTCCCCTCAGGTCACTCTGAAGCATGACAGGGTCCTCCTAGGGACTGATGAGAGGCCTGTGAGGCTAGGGACTAATAGGCAGAATGAAAAATAAAAGTTGCCGCCTTTGGGGATATAGCAACTAAGGCTCAAAGAGGTTAAGCTACTTATCCTATGGTCAAACAGCCAGAACACAGAGAAACTAGGATGTGATTCAGAATCAGAACTTTTTCTTGGGCTGCTCTCATCATTGGCTGAGCCAGCTCTGAGGCCTTCTTGCAGGGAGGCTGAGCATGGAGGCACCCTGGCACAGACTGATGTGTGGGCCCCCTTCCAGCCAAGGGTCTCCACCAGGCCCACTCCTGGACCCCCTCTTCCTGACCTCACTGGCCCAAGGCCATGTGACCTCTCTTGGGCCCAGGCTGGAGATTTTATCCTCAGCTCAGCTGACCCTGATCCGATTATCTCTGGAATTACCACCTCCTGGGCTGCCCCACCCTGGAAGGGGGCTCAAGGCCAATAACTTGAAGGCAGGAGTCCAAGGCTCCTTCCACCCCCACCCCCTCCAGGCCAGCTAAGCCTCTTGCCTGGCGCCCGGGGGCTATGAACCTGGAAGGCACATTCTCCTTGTAGCTGGTGTCCAGCCTCAGCTCCATGTGCTCCAGGGCAGAGCCAGGGCGGCAGCGGCTTTGATCCAAGGTGGTGTACTTGGCAGAGGTCTGGCCTGTGTGATCAGATGGGCCTCTGAGGGGTGAGGTCATACAAGCAGGCCCACCCTTGGCAGCATGCCCAGCTGTCCCTCAGGCCCAGCTCCTGGTCTGGACCCCTGATTGGGTAGGCCCCCTGGGGCCTTCTCTTCCTGCTCCATCTACCCCTCTTTCTAATGTAATGTCTTGGTATCCACCAGTGCCCACTTCTAGCACTCAGCCCTCCCAGATGAGAGCTCTTTCTCTCCCAGCCCTCGGACCACTGGGCCCAGGGGAGGGGTACGGCCCTCTCTGCTCCAGACCATTCTGCCTTCCTCAACTCTGAAGCCCTCCAGCTCTAGACCCCTATCCTCCCACTGGCCCACCTGCTACCCCCTCCTTATTGTTGTTGTTGTTGTTGTTATATGCCGTGGAGTCGGCCCCGACTCATAGTGACCCCTCCTTGGGTTTCTGAGGCAGTATCACTACGGAAGTAGGATTGCCCAACCTTCCTTCCGAGGAGTGGCTGGTGCCTCCTTATTGTAGGCATCCAGAAAGTCTAGCCAGGCTTCTCATCCTTTGAAGATTTTGGCTCCTGGCTCACTGTCCCTTTTCCAACACATATTCTTGGTCACTTCATCATCCATGTGAATGATCCCTACAACACCTGGCCTCTGGGCTCCTTGACTTTCGGTCCTCCTATGGTTCACATCTTGTCCTCTGCCTGACCTCAGCCACCCACTCCACAGCCTCCTCAGGCTTTGAATAACTGCAAAGAAACCAAACCAAACCAGCTGCTGTTGAGTCCATTTTGACTCATGGAGACCCCTATGCGTCAGGGAAGACCTGTGCTCCATGGAGTCTTCATGGCTGCTTTCTCAGAAGAAGTCTGCCAGATCTTTCTTCTGAAGTGCATCAGGGTGGTCTCTAGCCCCAAGCCTTTTGGTTAGCAGCCAAGCACATTAACTATTGGCACTACCAGGCACTCCTGAATAACTGCCCAAAAAACAACACCCAATGGCACCCACCCATAATCTCAGTGTCAAGGCCCACCTCCTATCACTCTAGCTCGCTCCCTCTAGTGCTCCAATCGCAACAATCCCTTCTTCCCCGAGACCCCAACTCTACCAGCTTTTGACTGTCCCTTGCCCCTCTGAAGTCTCCTCCCCTCCTCCTGCAGCCAAGTGACCAAGCCTAATAACCACATCCTTTAAGGTTCTCAAAGTCTCCCCCGCCCCCACCCTCCCTGTCTTTTTACACTTGCTTGGCAAAAAAAAAACCCATGCTGGTTAAAGCCAGCTCCCCACTCTGCCTGCACCTGAGCAGGTAGATGTGGCTGAAGAAAATCACACGACCACACAGCCAGCCTTGCTTCTAACCATGACCTTCAACCTCAGTGGGTCCGAGAGGCTGGCCGGGAAACTGGACTCTAGCCCCCTCTCTCCTAGATACTGACTCATGCTCTCCCCCTTTCCCCAGCCCTCAAACTCTACTACACTCCACCATCACCACCCCCCACCACCCTACTCCCCCAGCAGGCCTTGATTCTTTCATCCACCAAATAGGGTGGTCAGAAGGGAGACTGCACTGGCCCATCACACCTCCCCATCTGCTAACATCCGACGTAGCCTCTACTGCCCTTCTGTGGACAAGCCTGACCCTCATCTTGCTCACTGGATGCTGTCCTGCCTCACCTACCCAAGGACAGCACCCAGGGCCACATTGGGTGCCATGGTGTCAATCACCCTGGCCCATGGTGGATAAGCCCTATACTGGGGCACAGAGTAGGGCCCCCTCTGGCCTCCACTGGGTATCCTTAGAGAGCAGGACCCTGCTGCAGCAGCTCCATCCCACTCTAGAATCCCCCCACCACACTCCATCATCAACACGCCCCTCTTTACTGAACCACTCCCATCAGCGCTTACCACCACCTAGCACAGCACCTGCCCTTAGTACCAGCCGCCATTGAGTGGACCCCACCTCACAATGAGCCCACGCGTGTCAGAGAACCGTGCTCTGTAGGGTTTTCAACTGCTGAGTTTTTGGAAGTAGATTGTCAGGCCTTTTTTCCAAGGTGCCTCTGGGAAGACTTGAGCCTCTAACCTTTCAGTTAGCTGCTGAGTGTGTTAATTATTTCCACCACCCAGGGATTCCATCAGCACATAAATAGCTGCATAGTTCTCCCATCTTAAGAAAACATACACAAAATAATACCCCCTTTGACCCTCCAGGTCCCTGCCCCTTTCTCGCCTCTCATTTCACCCAAATTCCAATTCCTCTCCCCCTCTATTGACCCTACTTCAATCAGGCTTCCCATTCATACCCCCACCACCTCAGGGGAATCCCAGTGGCTAAGCTCTATGGACAAGTCTCAGACCCCAGTTTTTGTTGGTATCAGCAGCCTTGGGCACACGTGGTCATTCTGTCCTCTTGGGACATTCTGTCCTCTTTGCTTCCCTGATCCCAGGACACCTCCTTTCTCGATTACCCTCCTTCCTCCCTGCCCACACCTTCCCAGTCTCCTCTGCTGGTTCCTCCTCTTCTCCTCAGTCAGAGCTCAGCCTTGGATGTCCCTCTTCCCTGATAGACTCACTCCATGTCATCTCAGCCAGGCTCCTGACTGTGTCTAATGCTGCTTTTTAATGGGTGTCTGAACAGTAATATGGCCAAAACAGAACTCCTACCTATGCCCCTAAACATAGCTCTCCCATCTCAGTGTCCCCCCCCTTCTCCATGAATGGCAGCTGCATCCTTCCAGGGACTCAGGCGGAAACCCTGGAGGCCCCCTGACTCCTTGCTCTCATACCATATTCAAGCCATCAGCTAATTCCATTGACTCTACCTCCCGACTTATAGTCAACAAGTCAATTTCAACACTTAGTGACCTTATAGGACAGAGCAGAACTTCCCACAGGGTTTCTAAGGCTGTAATCTTCACAGAAGCAGACTATCACATCTTTCTCCCATAGAGTGGCTGGTGGGTTTGAACCACTGACGTTTCAGCTAGCACCTGAGCACTTAACCACCTTTGGATGCAAGGCCGTCTGTGTGGCTGTGTGATCTTTAGCCACATCCACCTGCTCAGGTGCAGGCAGAGTGAGGAGCTAGCATCACTAGAACTCCTTCTACCTTCTAAAGGATCCAGAATCCGACCTTTCTCATCACCACCATTTCACTCCCTAGGTCAGACGACTGTCACCTCTTTCCTACTCTGTGGCAGTGGCCTCCTAACTCAACCCCCCTGCTTTTGTCCTTGCCCCACCTGTGACAGTCTTCTCTGCAGATCGGAGTGATCCTGTGGTTATGTCCCACCTTAACTCAAAATACCCCAAGGCTCCCAAACCCACTCAAAGCCCCTCTCAAGGCCTTTGAGGTCCTTCCTCAGGGGTGAGGAGCAGGTACATGGACAGAAGAAGAGCCTGGTCCTGGAGGGCAGATGGTTGGGGGGTTACTGGGGAAGGGATGCTACAGTTTGAGCTGCCTGAATTATTTGGAAAGAAATGGGTCAGAGGTGGTCCAGTTTAGGATTATGTGCCGTGGAGTCAATGCTAGTTGGATCCTTTGCAGCCATTGTCCAATTATAGAGTGAGATAGGCCAATTATGGCTGGCTGGCAGCCTGTTCTGTCAATAAGGTTATACTAGAACACAGCCATGCCCATCTGTGCATCATCTACAGCTGCTTTTGCACTGTAACAGGAGCTGAGTAGTTGCAACAGACACCTGATGGCTGGCAAAGACTGATACATTATTTACTCTCTGGCCTTTCAGAAAGTTTGTCAACTTCTGCTCTTTGTTATCTGGCCCCCAGCTACCTCACCAACCTCATCATCTACTCCTTGTCCCCTTGCTCACTCTTCTCCAAACACACCAGCCTTGTTATTCCTTGAAAGCAGCATCATGCTGTTGCCTCAGGGCCTTTGCACATGCTGCCTGGAATTCCTACCCTTTCACTCCTTCAAGTCCTGTCTCACATCACAGGGAGCCCTTCCTGGACATTCTTTCTCTGACTGCAGTGTCCTCCTGCCTCTTCTCCTGGCCCTACATTCCTCTCTCCACAACACTTCCGCCATCTATCACACTGAATATGCTGCTGTTTGCTTTTCTCCCTCCAGTGGATTGAGAGCTTCCGGAGGCCAGGCCTTGGTCTCTTTTTTCCCTGCTGTGTCTGCAGCACATTGAACTAGCACCTAGTAGGGGCTTACAAATGTGTTAAATGAACAGCTGAACCACGCTAAGCACCGCACAGCCTTTAGCCGGCATCCTGTCTTTAACCCAGACCTAAGAATGAGCTTCCCTGTTTCAGATGAGAAACTGGACCTTCGGAAGGCTGTTTGCCCAGTCTGTTGTTGTTATGTGCCATCGAGTCGGACCCGACTCATAGCGACCCCTCCTTGGGTTTCCGAGGCAGTATCACTAGGCAAGCAGACTGCCCAACCTTTCTTCCGAGTTGCCTAGCCTAAGGCTCTATAACTGTACAGCTGCTGTGGAGGGTCCAATCTAGTGCTCACTCCACTGCGCATGCTCCTAACCAGGCCCCCCCACCCCCACCCCATCCACCTCTTTCCAAAAGAGTCAGGCAGCTTGAGCCACAGCATCCTTTCCTAGCACCACCAACTCCGCCTTCTGTCCATCCACCTGCTCCTCACCTCCTACCCTCTCTCTCCATCCCTGACCACTTAAAGACACTCTGAGCCTCCCTCTTCTCCCAACCAAAAGCACTTTTCGGTCAGTTTTCCTGTCCTCCTGGACCTGCCCTCATGAGTGTCTGACTTGTACTGGTCCTCCTTTGCCCTATCAGCGTTTGAACCTGGAGACTACCTCACCCAGGACTGTAACGACCCTGGCTGGTAGGCGGGATGGGATAAGGAGCAGCTTGCTGGGCTGCGCGAATGCACATGGTGCCTTCATGTTGGAGTCGCGTGCGAAGCTGCCAGTGTCTGGGTGCGCGGCCGAAGGGCACCGTACAAGGCGGTGGCAGCAAAGTGTGCACGGTTCTCCGCTCGCGAGCGCTCAGTCCTGGCTCCGCGCACCCAGATGTAAGTCCTGTGACTCGGTGTTAAGGCAATACTCTTCCCGCCTGCCTTCAGATCCCTCCGAAATCTGACTATAGTCGACCCTTCTCCGTACTGTGTGCTTCACCCAAATCACACTTCCTCTGGACTCCAAAAGTTCCTGCGTTGCCTATGCTGTTTCTCAATGCACATCTGCCCTGCCCTTTCCTTTCTTTGCCCTGATAGTTTGCATTCTCCTTTCTAAACTCCCGCTGGGAGAGGAGAGAGACCTGGGTCAGGAGTCAGAAGACCTGGGATCAAGAAGGGTTCTGCCACCGTGTGACCTTAGGCCAGTTCCTAACCTCTCTGAACCTCAGGCTCCTCTTCTGTAAACAGGGAATGGTAACACTCTACCTCACCTGTTTGATGTGAGGGTCAGATATT